CGGGGCGGCGGCAGCGCCGGGGGCGGGCGGGGCGGGGGCGGCGCGGGGGCGGCGGCGGCGGCTCCGGGCCCGAAACGTCTCCGAGCCGAGACTCAACCACCCGCTCGCATGAGAGACCCGCTTCCGGCTCCGGGCGGAAGTCCCACCCCCGCCGGCGGAAGGGATTGGCCGGCGCTGCCGCCTCGCGGGGCGGGCGCGCGCAGGACCGGGCGGCGCCGCCCGCGGATTGGCCGAGCATGGAAAGAGGGGGGGAAAGGGGGAGAGCGCCTGGGGCGCGCGCGCGCTCGCGCGCGGCGTGTGACGCGCGGAGCGGCGCGTGAGGCGCCTGACGTCACCCGGCGCGGAAGGGAGCGCGGGGGGGGGGGGGGGGGCGGGGTCGGCGCCGCCCGACAGCGCCCGCGCCCCGAGGAGGTTTGTCTCCTCGCGCGCGCCGTACCCCCGCCGGGATCGGGCGGGAAGGGAAAAGGAAAAGAAGGAAAATGGAAGGGGAAGGTCGAGTTGCCTTTGGTGTGGGAGCGGCGGCGCCTCCCACTCTGGTGGTACCGAGCGTGTGTGTCCGGGGGCACCGTCTCGCCGCCTCTGGCTTAGGGCAGCGCTGAGCTGTGGGGGCACGGCCGGCGCTCTCGGTGACGGGGGCTCGGTGTCCCCTCCGAGCGCTGCCACAGCAGGTGCCTGTCCGGGGTTACAGACCCTTCCACAGGGTATTCCAGATCTGGGTACAGAAGCTCCTGTGGAATAAGGCTGAGCAGTTGTGGCTTCAAAAGCAAGGGATATGCGCAAATAGGAGGTTTTTAGGAGAAGAATCTTTAATGAAAGAGCCTTCTGTTCCGTGTGGGTTGTGAAAGCCTGCAGAGCGTTGTCTCATAGAATCACAGAATGGCTCGGTTTGGGAGAGACCCTAAAGATTATCCAGTTCCAACCCCCTACCATGGGCAGGGACACTTTGCACTAGACGAGGTTGCTCCAAGCCCTGTCCAACCTGGCCTTGAACACTTCCAGGGATGGGGCAGCCACAGCTGCTCTGGGCAACTTGTGCCTCACCACCCTCACGCTGTTCATCGTGCAGAGGAAGAGAAGGCAGAGGAAGCAAAGGGCTGAGGAACAATCCTGACAGACAGAGGATTTATCAGAAAGACAGGGTTGTTAAGCAGTATCCAGACACTGCTTCTCTCTGACAATGGGTTCCTCTCTGCTGCTCCTGCAGCATGACAAGCAAAGAAACTCTGCTGGGAAGTAAAATGCATTTTGTTTGAAGGGGCTTCCTCCTAGGCTGGAGAATGCCAGGTTGGATTGAATAATATGCACAGGAAGGAAAGGGAATGCAAACTGAGACAGGGGTAAGCACAGGACATTGTGGTAGATGAGGGACTTTCGCCACAGGTAAAGTCTCTGTAGGACTCTTCTGACTCCCCTGACTTTTCAGCCTCAGTTTACCAAGCTGGGGAATAGAGTATATCTTCAGTTATATAAAACTGCAGTGAATTCCACAAGATTCAGGAATTCTTTTGTTTGACCAAAGAACAAATGAGTCTTGTTAAACAGTCCTAGTTATTTAGTACAGATCATCATTTGTTTCTAACTACAGTTAATTAGGCAAATGGAAAACTTGTAGTTTCTTCTCAGGACTTAAAAAAAAAAGTCTGGTAAGGATCATCCTATCATCTTCCAGGACTGCTCCCAGTCCTCAACTCATCTTCAACTTCAGGAGTGGCAAAACTACATCACCTTACAATCAGTTGTCAATAATTACCTGTACCATGCATTGCTGCTTATATGCATCTCTGAAGCTAATCCAGACAGGACCCTCTGGATCCTATTTTTAATCCTAATTGATAAGTCATGTGCCTGCCTTCCAGCTATCTGCTAGAGATTCCCATAGAGACAGTAACAGCAATTGACTTAGAAGACCTGACACCCGAGTACCCTTTGGAACTGTTTTTGATGTTACTGTACTGTTAAAAGTCTCTGGCTGGTGGAGGCAGTAAAGAACATCGCAGTGCCTGGAAGGAGCTCAGTCCTTATCGAACACGAAGCTTTGCTGTTCATCCAAGGGAAGTTGTGCCTCAGTGTTCACTCCTGGGCAAACCATGGGGTATTTTCCTTACTAGGTTGTTTCAATTTCACAGAATTGTTATGGGGAATAAACCCTGAGACCAGGAAGATGGATAGGATAGAACCTGATAGGAAAAAGAATAAACCAGCTCTGGGTGTTCAGAAGTACAGACAATTCCTTGGGTAGTGCAGGAAGTGTAACTGATCCATTAGGTGGCCACCATGGAGCTGATACATAAACTATTGATTGCTTTAAAGTCTAAAACAGTGAAACAATTGCTCTTTTTAATTATTTTTTTTTTAATTTATTTTACAAAGGAGTTCAATATGATTTTGTTCTTTAATACCAGACCATTTTTCAGCAGATTGCAGCTCTTGTCAAGAAAAGAAAAATAGAAAACGTCTAATTTTAAGCTCTCTAAACAGGGAGCGCTGTTTTGAGCTTTCAAAATTATCATGAACCCGTTATATCCTTGTTCTAGAGGGACCTCAAAATTCCTGATACTTATCCCTTTAGGCATACAGTCTTCACATCTCCCCCAGGCCGTATCCCCATGCAAGACTTGGGCAGGAAACCAAACCCATCAGACTGATAAAGAGATTGCACTGTATCATTCCTTCTGCTGACTGAGGGTTTATGATGGCTGAGCTCATCAAGAGAAAATGTGAGAGAGAAAATGGTGATTCCTGTTAAGACCAGAACATGGGCACAGCCTCATTGTAGGTAGGAGGGTTTTTTGATGGATAGTTTGTTCTGTTTATCTTGGTTTTTTTCCTAAAGCAGCTCAACTATGTTATTAAAGAATAAAAGTACTCTGACACTAATTTTTTTAAAAGCCCACTGTTATAAATGTGTTATATATTGATAAACATGTCAATATATGTGTGTTGGGTTTATGATTTTTATTCCCTTAAAATTTAGTATAGTTGAGTAACAGTCAACTTTTTCTGGAAAGCAATAAGAGTTTTCTACTTGCCTGGGCCACTTCTAATTCTCAGTGTGGGGAATGTAGAACTTAATCTCTTAATGCTTCCATTTTTTAGTGGCACACTGCTGAGATCAAAGAGGTTTGATATTTTTCCTTGTTACACTGGTAGCTGAGGAATGTGTGCCCAGATAGGAGTAAAATATTACAAATCAACAGTGGATGCTGTGTGGTAATAGAAACTACTGCTGGTTCTTCTATATCTCAGACTCAACCATCTGGAGAGAGAATGCATCTCTGAAGGAGCAATGTCCATGAACAGTCGGATTGTTAGTTCAGAAAAATCAAGGAAGAGTAGACTAACTAATTATTTTTTCTTGATCTGTGGTCGAACAGATGTAGAAGGGACCATGTAAGTTACTTCTCAATGTATTAGTGGTACATTCTTAAGATTATGTTTTATATTTTAGCCTGGAGAAAAGGAGGCTCAGGGGGGACCTCACCACTCTCTACAACTACCTGAAAGGGGGTTGTAGCCAGGTGGAGGTCAGTCTCTTCTGCCGTGTCTCAACGGAAAGGATGAGAGGAAATGGCCTTTTGTTGTGCTAGGGGAAGTTCAGATTAGATATTATAAAAAAAGTTTTCACTGAAAGAGTGATCAGGCATTGGGATAAGTTGCCCAGGGAGGTGGTGGAGTCACCATCTCTGGAAGTGTTCAAGAGGTGCCTGGATGTGGCACCTGGGGACATGGTTTAGGGATGACAATCGTGGTGCTGGGTTGACAGCTGGACTAGATGATCTTGAAGGTCTCTTCCAACCTTGGTGATTCTTTGATTCTGTGATACTGTACGGTTTTTAATTAGGATTTATAGTTCAGGAAAAGAAAAAAAAAAAAAGAAAATAGGTAGTTGGTGTACTTCAGAAGGTAAGTCCATATGAAGAAGAGCTGCAAATAATGCAGGATTCCTGGAAGCTAAACATAGAATTGAGCAGTCAGAAACTCAAGCCCTCAAAAATGACTAGATGTATTGGAATACTTGGGCTTTACAGTCTTTAGGATTTCCTCAAAGTATAATACAAAGGATAATATTTCCTTGCTCAGAAGAGCGTAAAGGATTAATTTGTTAAAGTTTGTGAAGCGCTTGGGTGATGTGATAAAAATTTCCACTAACACAGGACTGGATTTCTGCTTTGTAAGGAAGTTTTGGGCTACCTCTTTTTTAGGAGTGGGGTTTTTGTTTGGTTGGTTTGTTTGTTTGTTTGTTTGTTTTCTTTTTCACTGCTTTAAAACACACTCTCATAAAATATTTAAGCTTGCAGATCTATGGGATAAGGCTTCATAAATCACCAGTATTTAGTAATTGCTGACCTGGAACACTTGCCGAAACCCACAAACCACTCAGTACGTTGCAGTTTGTGAGACCTTACGAGCCACGTAATATTTTACAGTTCCTGAAGCTATTACCCATCTTTGCAGGAAGAGAGAGATTTTGAAAGGCAGGATTGTACATTGCGTACAAGGGATTGTGCACAATGGGCTATTCCTGTCATAAAACTTTAATAGAATGCTGCAGTCAGTCTGTATTGCACGGATTTGACGAGTGGCAGCCTTGATAAAAACAGAGGGGACAATTTGGATCTGTTTATTTTGTAGTTGAAGAACCATTTATAACACAGTGGCGAGGCTATGGTGAGACAATTTCTAAATTATATCCAGTGCCAAAATCCAGTTGGACTGCGATGGTATTTCGGTGCCCAGGCAGCAGTGCTGAGTACCTACACATGTGAGTGACAAGGTGAACATGTGCACTTTGTGTCTTTCTTGTATCAGCTGCTTGGATCAGGTATCAAGCCTTGTAAAGTGCTGCTGTAGAAATAGTTCAAACAAACCCTCACTTAACAGATTTTCTCCTCCAGCCTTGTCCCTTCAGCAGGTTACTTTGATTTCTTTAAGACATAAAAACCATTTTAAAATAAGGCTGTAGTGTAAGTGCCAGCTGTTGTTAAACCCTGGGTTTCATTAGCAGACTGTAAAAAAGGTCTAAGCTGTAAATGGTACGATAAATATTAAAACTGTTGTTAACAGCAGCTGATTACAAACTTTCAGGAGATGATTTAACAGTAATAATTACTGTTAATTGAGCAAAATCACAAATCTGAAAATTACCATTCAGTTTCATGGACTTTGCACTATCATCAAACTGACCAGTAGACAGGCCTGGCTCTGTCTGTGTGTAGCAGGTCTGCAGCAGAGCCAGGACTTGTAACCAGACCTTGCACATTCCAGGTTTGAGCAATATACTGTCTTCTATTTATTTATTTTTCCTCTGTGATGTATTTCTTTCTTTAGCTTGAACCCATTTTTAAAAGCTAATTAAACCTTAATGAGAAATCGTATAATTTACATACATTTTGTGGCTTAGAATCTTCTGAAGGGATGTGGAATCAATTCAAATTTTCTTAGCAGTGAGGATGTTGGCAATTTTCTACCTTTGTACTTATTTCCGTGTTTCTATCACTATTTTTTCTGAACACTTCACAACAGTCTTTAAATACCATTATAACCACCATGTGTGAAGTATGAGTGTATTTATCAACAGGTGGCAAACTAAGGCACAAAGGTGTTTGAGCTCAATTGTAACTGGTCCTGTGCAAAAGTTGTGTCTGCTCTGAAAAATGATGATGATTTTGTAGTTCTGTCCTCTCGAACACCATATTGAGATTCTGTAGGGGTCATAAATACATGTATTTATACATGTATCCCCAACCTTACCATTTCAAACATGAGCATATTTAACTGTGCTTCCTGCTTTTGTCCTCATAGGTTATAAAAGGATTTTCTGTTTCTATTTGTTTGTGTGTGTGTTTGGATGCAATTTTAAATCTCTCATTCTCTATTATGTTGGACATCTGCGAGGAAAATTATGTGAAAATTTCAGGCCCCTAATGAATGAATTGCAAAGCAATAAACATCAAATGCTTCTGCTTATAGAAGGAATATATTGCATAAAGCATAATGGTGAGCTGGGTTAAAAAGTTGTTTACTGTGAATTTTACCTGTACTTGCACTTATATTTCAAGATGGATTTTTTTGGAAGGGTCCGGAGATTCCCACTAGCCTCTGCCTCCTCTCTGATAAACCAACTCCAAGTTTTTTATAATTCTAAGGAAAGGGTCAAAAAAAAGGGACAGAGCAGAGCTGGTTGTCTCTGAACTTCTTTTTAAGATGCCTACCCTTATCCCCTCTGTTGGAGGGTCAGAGTGGCTTTGTGTCTTGCACTTGGCTGGCTGTGCTTGGAAATACTTGGGTATTGCCACACATCATAGTTACCTGGGGCTTTTCTGTCTTAAAGAAACTTCTGCTGCCCGGTCTTCAGTTACTTTATGCCCGTAATTTACAGATACAATATAACATATACCCACTCTAATTGGGTTCTTTGACGTGTCTGGTGCTCTGCAAAAGTAGGCAGGCTCTCAGAGAAAGAAGTAAGGTTGCCATAAGACCATTAGCTGCTGATACTCTGTAAAGTCATGTCTGATTGTTCTTTGCATCTCTTCTGCTCAGTCAGGGAAGACTGAGGCCTGTAAAAAAATTACTTCATGCCACTGAATCCTAGAAATTGTTGAGATGGTCTATTCAATACAGCCTTATGATTCCTCTTCTCTCTTGCAGAGCCCTTCTCTGTGTCATGAGGATTCATTTCTGGTTTTCATCCAGCAGAGATAGTCCAGTAAGAGGGATGGTTTTCACACCAGGGTGAGAAATGCAGGTTTTTAAATCATCCACAGGTCGAGCAGGGCCAAGCACTTGGTGGCTGAAGCCACAGAGTGCCCAGGCTGCCCTAACAGCTGTTTCTGGCCATGAAACAAGGACAAGATGAAAGTACAGCTATCTGGGTGTCCCAGATGGAGAGCTGTGGCCACCCCTGAGTGGATCATGTCTGCCAGACTTTGGGAGTGGAATGACCTGTAAAAGGAGTGGAGGAAACTCACATGAATTGTGACTAGAGATGTCTCCTGAGCTACTGACATATATTAGAAATCTAAACTTGGGTCACTGTGGAAATCCCTGTGCACCTCAAGGTACACGTAAAATCAGTATTGTTTATGCAGAGTTTTTGTGCAATCTCAGTTCTAACTTCCCCTTGAATGTAAGAGAGGAAATAGAAAACTGTTTTAGAAGGAAAAGAAAAAGCAGTTTATACTATGGGAAGTCTGAATAGGAAGCTCCAGCTGACTGTTTACTAAGCTAAATGCAACATGGAAAATTCAGTGTGTCAGGAAAAATAACATAGTCTTCTCTCCTGGTGGCAAGCAGCCATGATTGTTGTTACTGACATGGTCAGCTAATATCATCCTTCTGATATTACTATAGATGGATAAAATCACCATGAGAACTACCCAGTACTGAAAAATACACATTTGTACTGGTTTTTCTCTCCTCAATAGAGTAAGGTCAGTTCTGAGCTGGGGCTGCAGGGCTGGGAGTGTATCTGGAAGCTTCTGTGAAGTGTGGGGTGGTTCAGTGTTTACTGGACATATACATGTGTCAGAAAGTGCTCTGCATCCCTGCCTGGTACAGGCCAATCCCTGGTAGGGAAAAGATGAGCCCAGATGAGACAAATGCAACATGACCTACGCATCTAAGAGATGTTTTCTTAACAACCAGCTTTCTAGCACAGAAGAAGAGTGTTTCTCTCCAACCTTCTGTGCCTCTTCTGTGTCTGGAGAGAGGAGAGCTCTGAGAGTACAGCTGTGGAATCTGAATAGGAGATAACAGTGCAAATGTGTGTAGTGTACGTCTAAGCCCTGATTTTCAATACACAATGATTTTTAAAAAAAGCTTAGTGCTGACTCTGATGCCTTTTGCACTTCTAGTGCCTTTTCTCCTACGCATTGCACAGCAGCAGCACATTCTGGTGTCTGCTGTAATATGGGTAATAACTCGTAGTCATATGTTTCTGATTTTCATCAAATGGAGCAACAAGTGGGGGGTATCCTGCAGAGGTGACACAAATTATCTTTTAAAATTAATGGTAGAAGTGATCCTGTATCTCAGGAAGAGTGTCCATGGATTCTGTGAAGTGAGTTGGGTGGCAGAGGTGAGCTGGAATTCATTGGAATTATAGGGGTGGGATAATGGTGGGTAATGTCCCAAGACTTAGAGCAGGACTGATGTTTCCAGGAAATCCAGAGGGTCCTGCTGAGAGGCCAATAGGAAACCTACATGTTGGCACACAGTCCAGCCTGGAGGCTGGATCACAGATAGGCAAATAAACCAAGAGGAATGAGAGCAAAACAGATGAATGTGACCTGCCTTGCTTCATAGATCACCAGGGAAAGAAAGCCCTTGTACGTCCCTGCTGATAATACAGCACTGAGCTTGTGAGAGACACCTGAACCAATGGTATGTAAGTAGGTGGAAGTTATAAACATGAGAAAGAATCTTAAATAGGATTAAATGGAAATGTAAAATTACGTAAAGTGCAATCTTTCTACTGAAAAATATAAATTGCCTTGAGAAACAGGAAGAGTGGAAAGAGAAATTAAGCATGTTGAGTTTGGTTAGTTGGTTGGGGTTTTTTTTTTAATTGAAAAGCATATAATTTAAAAAATAAACAGAGTGGGATAAAAAATATTTTGCTTCTCCTGACTTTGTGACTGTTACCTCTTTTGCTCATCAATTTTCTCTCTTCTTTTAAACTCCAGGCCTTTTGTTTTATAATTAAATTGTGAACTCTTCAGGGCAGCAGCTATATGTAGACATGGAGCAGTAAATACCCTGCAGCAGTAAATACTTACCCTGATTGGCACCACTGAGCAATATAAACACTATGTAAATAATGAGAAAGTCTGAGAGGTGCTGTATCCTGGATAAACACCATTCCTTTCCACGGCTTACATTGTAGTTGAATTAATTCTAACAGTACACAAAACCATGTCAGTGCATCAGCTAAAGGCAAGCTGGATACTGCTTGGAGGTATGGAAAGTTATGAAGAGCTGGGTGAGCCCCCTGATGTCCTCTGAGAGCAAAAAATGCACTGGGGAGAAGCTGATTTGGAGCTTGGAGCCAAACTTCCCTTTGGGAAGGAAAAAAACTGACACAATCCTCTTCTTATGTGACATTCAGGGAGAATTGAATGTCTATGCATGAGATAGATCCAAACAGGCATCATAGGCAGGAAACCTGGAGTGTTATCCTGCTGGCTGCTTCAGTTGCCCACATATATCTGTCTAGAGGCATTTGAGATGTCCTGTAGTAGGCCTCAAATTCCAGCTGCCACTTGGGAGGGAGAAAGGTCATGTTTAATATTTGGCAATTCTGTGTAAATGTCTTGGATACCACAGGCAAAGCTGGCACTAGACATCTAAATTTAGCCAGCTGGTTTGTGTGCCAAGAGATGTTTTTTAGGGTTAGATGGGCAGATCTCTGGACTCCACTGACTGTGACAAAAGGCTGGACATCCAGTTAACATGTGGACATCCAGTTAACATGTGGACACCTCCCAGGTCTCTTAATCTGCAAGGGGAATACTATTGTCCCTTAAGATGTGCCCCAAGACAAGACTTAGCTTAGTGTCCTTTAAGGTAATATATAAAAAATTGATTGATGCTAACATTGTGAAAGTGCTTTAACATGTTTTTTAAAACCAGAGGTCTTAAAATGGTGCTGAAGCTGCGTGTGAGAATGTAGGGTTCAGATCTGCTCTGATCTCAAGCTGTGCCCCTCCGTGGAGCTGAGTAAAGCCCCCGCACATTGCAGGGACACCTGAGCTGGCTCAGACCCGGAGTGTCTGACGATGCTGGTGCACCAGGTGTGCTGAGAGGCTGCTGCAGAGTTAGCTCATGTGGAGAACCACTGGCCTTACATCTCAGTAACATCTCAGATGTTACTGAAAACACTTTACACATCTCCTTTTTTTTTTTCTTTTCCTTCACCGTAATTTTACTTTTTTTTTTCCTCGGGAAGAGTTTCCTTCTGAGTATTTGAATTTACTGCAGCAAGAACTACTGTTTGCTGGTGTGTTTATACAACAGAAACACAAGGAGCCCCTGGTCTCTGACAAGGACACTGTGGCAAAACAAATTAAAAATACAGACAGAAAGCCAGAGTGCAGAGTGAGGTTATGTCTCAAAGATGACACTGGCCCTCTGAGATAAGGCTGAGGTCTTCTGCAGTTTGACTCAATACCTCAAGTAAAAGAAATTTCATTTCCATGTGTGTATCTTGTATATATCAAAACCTGGTGTTTGGGTAGTGCCTGAAAGTTTCTAGATATGGGCAAATGGAGAAAAGAAACAGTCCTTGAGCACTAGGGACTACAGCATGAGGTGTAATGAGACAGAGAAAATGAGAAGGGTATTTAACATCACAGGTATTTTGCCTAAGTGTAGGAACAGGACAGATGGACTGTCTCTGTATTCCCAGATGTTCTTAAAGAGAGCAGGAACTGACTACAACTAAGAGGTTTTATCTGAAAGTCAGTACCAGTATGTTTTTTCACCTCATATAAACAAAGAAAAAGAAGGGTTTGTTCTGCTTCACTGGAGCAAAAAAAATAACACAATAGACTTCCATTCAGGCACATAAATAGCAACTGTCCTGTGACTTCTCTATTTAAATGGGTATCCATGGTGAGATCTGCCTAGCTTTCGTTAGATGGCTGTGGAACGGTGCTGTGGTTCACACTGCAGACAGGAAGGAAAAGGCAGCTGAAAAATTCCCCTTACAATGAATGAATGAAGAAATGCAGCAAGATATCAAGTGTCTGTTGCATCACACTGCAAAAAAATGATGCCTGTGTTCTCCACCACTGCTTTACTGTTCCTTCACAATGCTTTTCCAGGTCCATTCCAATTAAATGCTAGTCTGTACTTGTAGGCACAACCCTGACCAACAGATGGTACATAAATAGGTGTAAAAACTGCAGCGTTACAAGGGGCTTCCTTCTCAGGCTGCATTTCGTGTTTGATTTCTCCTTTCAGTGTTGGTAGTAGGGATTAGTAACCTGCTCTGTGATACATGAGCCTGGGTCAGACCCCTCCAGGGTCTTGCCTGGCTCAGAGCACACAAGGATGACCTAGTGCTGTAGGTACCAGCACAGATGTCTGCTGTACAAGTGATCTTTAGCACCAGAAGGAAAAGAGAAGCTGGGTCAAGATTGCTGGACTTCTTGAACTGCCTGTTTTCTGGGGAGAATGGCAGACCTGCCTAAAATTTAAGATACTACTGATATGTCATCAGGGCTATTTATATCAGGGATCTGTGAAATAAAAGTCAAAATCAGCTACAGGAGTCTGAGCTAATGAATGATGAGTTCCTGGTGTTGGAATAATTATTACAATTGATGACAACAAAGATCAGTTGTTTTGCCAAATACAAGCTTTGAAAAATAGTACCTTTTAGCCCCCAAATAAGCCAAAATTGGGTTAAGGAGTCAAATATAGAAACATTACCCTTGGCTTGTTATATTCTGCATTAAAATTTATATTCTGCATTGAAATACTGATGGTTCACACTTTTGAGATCTTAGCTGTACATGCATCAGCAAGAAAGTGTCATGTATCATTTAAAAGTGTTATATTCTGGTAATAAGTGGAATGTAAAAATCCTCTTATAGATCGTGATATTCACAGTAAAATTATTAGCAATGCTAATGCTAGTACAATTTGGAAGAGATTGATACACCAGTGATAATGCACTGAACTTGAATTCTATCAAAACTAGTAGAAAAGCTGTTCCTGACTTTAAGTGAGAACCAGATCTGACCTATAAATTTTTAAAAGGTTATGCCTAAGTGCTAAAAATTGAAAATGTTAATAAAAATGTAATCTCCCATTGCTGTCAGCAAGGCAAAGCCCCTGAAGCTTTTGTATATACCTTCTACCATTCTTTGTATTTTGTTTCCATGTGAAGACTGGAAGTGGACTGATCAGTAAGGGTTTGGTTTACTCAAACCAAGCCAGGAGTTAGGAGCTAACTCCAGCTGCTGCCAATACAGCAGCCATTGAAATGTGAAAGCACAGTTAAAAAGAGCTAATTTTAAAAGTGTTTTCCTGTGAAATCCATCCAGCTTTTCAAATCAGACTTTCACTGTCTTCCCCAAACCAACCAAATGTTACAAAATCTGGGAATGCAGCTGAGGAATCCTGCCAACCCCCTGGTGCAGCATGGTCGTCTCGCATACTTTCTCTGCTTGGCTGTCAGGGCGTGCCAGGGCAGATGCCTGTGGTGTGCCTTGATCCTCGCTGTTCTTTAGGTCTGTGTAGTCTCCATAGTCAGGCTGCCCCTTTATTTGTGGAGCAAGAATGGGAAAAGGCAGAAAGCAGCATTGCTGGCAACAAGGACTAAACAGGAATAACAAAATCAGATGTCTGGGATTCTGCAAGGAGAAGGAGAGGCGGGCAGTTTATCAGGAGGTGGAGGCACACCAAACCAGGCAGAGGTAGATGCTGGTGCACTCCTGAGGGAAGGTGTGGGTGTCCACAATGGCACAACCCAGCATGACCAAAGTGCTGAACGTGTCTGCACTGGGGAGGCACAACCAATGGCCTGGCTGTTTTCAATCTGTGCTTGGGAAGCAGATGCCTGTAGAGTCAGAAGCAAACTGCTGTGGTTTCCAAATGCTCATATATAGCATTCTAGCATATTGGAGCAGATGGCAGGTCTGACTGCCCTGGGCCCCATTTCTCGGCAGCGGCTGGAAACCCTTCAGGCCTCTTTGAAGAGTGGTGTGGATATGCCTGCTTAAGGAATGGCATGCCAGGATTTCCTGCTCCCTTCCACTGTCTCCGTGTATGTTTTGTACCCTGCTCAGCACTCTGGAACATGTGCTCAGTCTGTGGACACCTCTCTGGGTTGCATTGGCAATCTCGTGTGTCCTGAGTTGTTCAACAGGGGTAGTGCGGGTCTGGCTCCAAGCCAGCCGAGTTACTCTGCTTCTCAGGTGGAGACGTGCAAGAGCAGACATATCTGGACTGTTTGAATGCCTTCCAGAAGATAAATCATCCGTAAGCACTGCTGAAGTGAATTCAGTACGCAGAAAAAGTAGGGCACGGCTGATTTTTCATCACCATCCAGTCATAGTAGCAGAGTAGAAGGTGTTTTAGAACAGCCTTGGTCACTGGCTGGAAGACCCAAGAGTCACCACCAAAGGTATCCGCCCTCTCAGCATGACTGAGGG